CGGCATTCATTGTGTCGGCATCGATAAAGCTATTAAAGCTCATCTTCTTCTTCCTCACAACTTCTCATATCTTTTTACATCTTCCGCTTTTCTTCTCAGATCTCCCACCTCTGACACTGTCACCCCACACCTGCCTCCCCATTGACGGTGGGCTTTTTGTCCCCGGTGCCATAGACACACGCCTTGCGACCACTAGCCATGATTACCCCTGCCACTTCCACATTGCCGTCTACATTTTGCCCCACTGCTTCTACCCCGCACTTCCTAACTTGGGCGTCCCTTGCCCCTACCCCTATCCACAACCTGCCTGGCCTGCATCTTGGGGCTTTCTTTCTAACTCTAATGGCCATAGAGCCCTCCCCAAACCCCGCAACCCCTAACCTCTCTTCTTCGATTCTAGCTCTTTGGTCTCATGGAGGAAGACGACAATTTGGACGTGGGCTCTACCGCGGTCGAAAATTGCATACCACGATGCACATGCGTCAAATAAGACTTTGGTATTTAGAACAACAACTTCCTATTCTTTGAGAATGTATTGCAATTTAAAAAAAATCCTAAAATTTTATTTTCACTTGTTGTTTATTGTTTTTAGAAACATTTTGAAGAAAACACTTTCGCTAAACCCTTTACGAAATGTTTTTTTACAAAAAAAAAACGTTTTAGTGTAGTGTCTTTATTAAGAAAACTTTTTGAAGCCGCTAAAATCCATTCGGAACTGATGACACAGAGAAACGGACACCCCCTCTTCTAGTTTTTCTCTCTCTCTCTGCCGCCGTCCGCCGGCCTCGCGCACCCCGCCGGCAACGGAACCGATCCCAGGTACGGGCCGTCGCCCCTTTCATCATTCATTCCCCGCATCCTCTCTCAGCTCTCACACCACCCTATCCCGTTCCCTCGCAGGACGCCGCCGCCGGCCGTCAATCGTGCCCCACTCGACCCGGGGACTCCGTTCAGGTCCTCCCCCGAACTCGCACTGCTCTCCGTCGGTTCAGGTGAGGATCTCCCTTAATCCTTCTCCCTCCTCTCCTCCCGCCTCGTCCTCTACCTGTGTATGTGCGCGTGATGGGACGCGGGGGCGTTGTTGGGTGCGGGGCCCAGCAGCGGCGGAGGAACTCCAGCGGCTGCTACCTGGGCGACCGCCGCCTTCGGATGGGCGTTCGGGGCCAAATCCGTATCCTCAACCAGCCGATGGGAGCCCACTAGTATTTCCTGCCTGCCCTAGTGGCTGTGATCCTAGCACTCTGTTCCGTTCCGATTTCTGCACCGCGTGTTGACCACATCAGACAGAGAGAGAGAGAGGAGGGTGGAGCACCAAATCGATTTCCCCATCTTATTTTGGATCTGTTTTCCCATCTTATTTCGTGAAGCTACCTGTGTCAGTACAATGGGATGATATATTGATTTCCTATTTTTAGGACAGCCTTACCTGTCATCTCTGTTTACAAAGGCAGCGCCTAGCTCCATTTCTAGGCTCTTTTACGCATAGATATGTTTTGGGCTTAGGTCATCATGAAATTTTCCATTTTTAGGACAGCCTTACCTGTCATCTCTGTTTAAAAAGGCGGCGCCTAGCTCCATTTCTAGGCTCTTTCACGCATAGATATGTTTTGGGCTTATGTATTCATGAAATTAGGAAAATTTAGAGATCGGCAAAAATGAATCATGGTCATATTACTCATGGATGCATGATAACATCAATTTTTTTAACCTAATATGCTAAGTTTCCTTTATTTAGTATATATGGCATTTCTCTAACTGTCCACGTAAAAGTATGAAAGCTTAGGCACGTCTAGTTCCTAGGCAGAGCCCAACTGCTTGCCTAGCACTTTTTTATACACTGCCTGTCATCAGTAGTGATGTGCCCTGATATAGTGCACTGTTGTGTATCTTCCATTGTGCAATGCTTCTGCAATGTAAGACTCCACTATGCAGTCACTCAGATTTGTATCTGCTCCGGGCTCCTTTTACCAGCATGACTCGTCTGGGGGAGCAACGGTACTAAGTACGTGTAATGCAAATCTATTCAGAATTTTCCCGCCTCTCTCTCCCTCTCAAAAATGATGTGGTTTTCATGAATTGCCATTTCTCTCTCTCTCTCTCTCTCTCAAAAATGATGCGAATTTTCCCATTTCTCTCTGCTTGGGTGGTCTTCTATTCTATGCATTTGTGGCATCTAATAAACATTTTGAAATAGTCCAAGCATGTGTTACAATGTGCACCATCTCTTTCGATCTTTCCTTTTGTTTTGCAGTTAAAAACATGACTGCTCAGACAAAGAAGAGGGGCGCTACGGAAAATGGGGATGGTGGTGTTGGTTTGGGCCTTGCTGCCTTCATTGCAAACAATGAGGATGTGGGTCCCATAGTCCGGCACGCTTTTGAATCTGGGAAGCCTGAAGCCCTCTTGCACAGCCTCCAGAACATCGTGAAGATGAAGGAGGTTGATATTGAAGAGATTTGTAGACTCCACTATGAGGAATTCATCCTTGCAATCGATGAGCTTCGTGGTGTCCTGGTTGATGCTGATGAGCTTAAGGGCACATTGTCTGATGAGAACCTGCGGTTGCAAGAAGTTGCTAGCGCCTTGCTACTGAAGCTTGATGAGCTTCTTGAGATCTATTCTGTAAACAGTAATGTTGGGGAAGCCCTATCTACATTGAAGATTTGTCTGCAAGTTATCAGTCTCTGCAAGATATGCAACAGGGACATTGCTGAAGCAAAATTACTTTCTGCATTGAAAACATTGGAGTTGATTGAGAAGGACTACCTGCAAAATATTCCACTGAAGCTTCTGAAAAAGGTTATTCATAAACAAGTCCCTATGGTAAAGCTGTACATTGAGAAGAAAGTTTGTAGTGAGTTTAATCAGTGGCTTGTGTATATCAGAAGGACTGCTAAGGAGATTGGGCAAGTCGCAATAGACCAGACATCTCTTACTTGTCAGAAAGATGAGGGAATGTGTGCCCGACAGAGGGAAGCAGAAGAATCTAGCCGTGTTGGGTTCGACGTGAATGCTGACACCTTGGATGTGGAACACATGGCTGAGGAACCAATGCTGGAATTTGATCTTGCGCCAGTGTACAGAGCACACCATATCCACATAGGCCTTGGTCTTGGGGAGAAGTTTCGAGAATATTACTACAATAACAGGCTCATGCAACTCAATTTGGACTTGCAATTTTCTACGTCACAACCCTTTGTTGAATCCTATCAACCTTTCCTTGCTCAGGTAGCTGGCTTTTTTATTATTGAGGACCGTGTCCTTCGAACTGCAGATGGGCTTCTATCTGAGGGCCAGGTTGATACAATGTTGGAAACAGCCATTTCTAAAGTTACTCTGATTTTAGAGGAACAGTTCTCCCGCATTGATGCTGCCAACCACCTCCTCCTCATAAAAGGATATGTCAGTCTTTTTGGTGCAACCCTGAAGAAATATGGATACCGATCCATGTCAGTTGTTGAAATTCTTGACAAAACTAGGGACAAGTATCTTGAACTTCTTCTTTCTGACTGCCGGAAGAAGCTCAACTATGCCTTTTCTAAGGACTCATATGAGAGGATCGTTATAAAGAAGGAAAATGAATATGACACAAATATAGCAGCATTCCAACTTGAACCTGTTGATGGAGTACCAAATTTGCCATATGTTGCTCCATTTTCCTCCTCAGTTCCCAATGCTTGTCGTATTGTGCGTTCTTTCATTGAGGAGTTGGTCAGCTACTTGTCACACAGTGGTAGCACAAACATCTATGATGTGGTGAAAAGTTACTTAGACAAGTTCTTGATTGAGACGTTGAATGATGGTTTTCTGAACCTGATACATGGTGGTTCCCTGGAATTTCCACAGGTGGTGCAGATTGCAGGAAATATTGCCATTCTTGAGCAGTCCTGTGATATGTTCCTTTGGCATGCTGCTCGACTTTGTGGTGTCCCTAGGTGCCTCCTTGAGAAGCCCCATTCTGGTTTGACTGCTAGAGCTGTGCTCAAAGCCTCCCAGAATGCAGCATACAATGGATTGATTACTTTGGTCAATTCCAAGATTGATGAGTATATGTTGCAGTTGACTAGCATCAATTGGACTCTGGAGGAAGCTCCAGAGCACGCAAATGACTACATGAACGAAGTTATTATCTATCTTCATGAGGTGGTATCTTCTGGGCAGCAGATTGTACCAAGAGATGCCTTATTCAAGGTTGTATCTGGTGCACTAAGCCACATCTCAGATTCTATAACAACGGTACTTCTTAGTGACCGGGTGAAAAGGTTCAACGCAAATGCTGCTGCTAGTATTGACATTGATCTGAAAGTGTTGGAGGGGTTTGCTGATGACACATACCGCATGACTGGGTTTTCGGACCTGAGAAAGGAAACAAGTTTCAGAGATTGTCTAGCCGAAATAAGGCAGCTAATAAATCTTCTTCTCAGCAACCAACCTGAAAGCTTCATGAATCCTGTAACCAGGGAGCAGAATTATGGAGCCTTAGACCATAAGAAGGTGGCAATAATTTGTGACAAGTTCAAGGATGCCCCAGACAGTTTATTTGGAAGCCTTTCAAGCCGAGCCACAGTGCAGAGCGCCCGGAAGAAATCCCTGGATGTTCTGAAGAGAAGGTTAAAGGATTTTAGCTGAGATTAGCTGTGCTACATCATTAAATAAGCTAGTACTCAGTTTTTAGGAAAACAATGGTTCAGCGCAAGTCTTACCATTTCAAACTTCTTTCCATCTTTATTCCCTTTTTAATCAACTTCCGTTTCGCCTTAGGGCGAAATCCTTGGATGTGCTGAAGCGAAGGTTAAAGGATTTTAGCTGAGATTAGCAGATGAGCTAGATCATTCAAATTTCTTTCCATCCTTGTTTATTCCCTTTTTAATCTGTTTCCATTTCGCGTTCGTTTTGGAGCTAATGTAGACGTAGTGATCCGTATAGATGAAATATTCATCATTATTATGATCAGGACACTTTGTTGTTATGTGGCCGAAGGTAACTTGGTGCCGCTATCATCACATATCATGGAAGAACTCATAGGTTTTGACATCGAGCGCGATCGATCTGATTGCTCCGATGCATGCAAGGGCACCTATGATCGAGAACAAGATTGCGGCAGCAGCGCTGAGCATCTTCACAGCACACTGCAATCCTGGGTTATCAGGCATCGTCCTGGTCTTGAGAAGTGCTAATGCAGGCAGCACGAAGTCCAAAGGGGTGAACCCAACTGCTCCGCAGACTGATACAAAGTCCCCAAAGAAGGGCATTGCAGCGGAGACGAGCGTAATCACGGCCATGTATGCAGACGTGTATGTCAGCCGGCACAGGCAGGATCTGCAGCTCATGTTCTTCGCCTGAAGCCACTCTTCGAAGTGTGCAAACGTAGGCCTGCAGTATATCTTGGCGAAAGAAGTAGTGTTTGATGGGAACCAACTAACCTGTGCAAACTTGGAAACTACTCCCTCCATCTCAAATTGTAAGACGTTTGATTTTTTTGTCTCAAGTTTGACCACTCGTCTTATTCAAAAAATTTGTGTAAATATAGTCAAATTTAAGTCATTCTTGAAGAATTTTTATTAATAAACCAAACCACGACGAAAGAAGTGATATTTTACGCAAATTTTTGAATAAGACGAGTGGTCAAACTTGGTGTCAAAAAAGTCAAATGTCTTACAATTTGGGATGGATTGAGTACCAATCATGACCGCTAGATGCTGATCCAATGGATGAGGTGAGAGGTGGGATTTTTTTGCGCTTAAGCCCCTCACCCGCCGGCCTTTTTTTTTAACGCTTAAGCCCCGTCACCTCATCTATTGGATCAGCATCTAGTGGTCTTGATTGATAGTTTCCAAGTTTGCACATGTTGCTTGGTTTGCACATGATATATTGCCTTATGGTTATGCCACCAAATTGATTCAAGATGGGAACAGCACGTGTTTGGTTTACCTGGAAGCAACCTGCTATCTGAATGACTGCAAACGGGTTTGCCATTACAGTTGCCCATCTTGGAGCTGTCAGGGAGGACAGGATGTAGGGCTGGACCTGAGAGCCAAATGCCCAGTAGCCACTGAATGCGAGGGTCCAGTAGGACACGACGATGATCATGTACGCTGAAGAGACGCCTTTGTACATGTTTGCCCTCACCGGTTCTCGCACGGTGCTCTGGATTTCAGATTTTCAGTCCAGAGTCTTGAGAATGGCAGGTTACGGCATACATGGACCTCATTATATGTGAACATCAGATCAGATGGGCACCTGAATTTCTGGCAGCATGGCGTCGCCAAAGGAGAAGGCTATTGTGCCCAATGCGTTGAAACCTCTGAAGATCTTAGTTGCGGTGCTTCCTTGTAGACTGTAACTGATTCCCTTTCTTTGGATCCGATATCCTGCATGAATTAACTCAGTAACCATATTCATCAGTGACAATTCCACCCCCATCTTGTTCTGCAGACAAAAAAAAAAGAGAGCTAATACTATGTTATATTACCGTCATATATTGTGACACCAATGGTTGCCCCCGCAAATCCAACGGTGCTGGCAGTGCAGATAGCATTGACCCACCGGAACGAATGGATGTCAGGGAGCTGGGAAAGGAGCAGCTCCAATGCACCCAAGACAAGGATGAACTGCTGCAGCGTTGAGGCTGCTGCCGGCTGTGATCTGGATTGCAATGTTGTTGCCTATAGATGCCACCTGCTGGAAGAACGAGACATACCAGTAGCCCCAAGGACCTGAACAAATTAAAAAGCACAGTTGAAGTAACTTTTCAGTTGCAGTACTGCTAACAGTGTTACTCTATACTGAAATGGAATTCTTTTTTTTTTAAAATTAAGCAGTACAACGTAGACACTCACAACACACGCAAACGAGAAATCAAAACTACTTACAATAATCAGTCTCTTTTCAGAAAGTTTCTGCTGTTAGAATGCTACTGTCAGGTATAAATAAAGAGAGAAGTTTATTTGCTGTGGCAAATAATGCTATTACTGACCAAAGATGCTCTCTGCCAGGAGCCGGTAGTTGGTGTGTTTCTCCCCATTCCACCGCCATAGAGAGGCCACAACCAAGCTCGAACACCATGTAACTAGTGTCCCAATAACCAAGCTGCAGACACCAAGAGGCCAGCCAAGGGAGGCAACAGTAAAGGGCAAGGGGGCGTAGGCCGCCGGCGTGGCGATCGTCGTCGCCACGTGGAAGGCCGCGTGCCGCCACGTGCCTCTCCCAGTCTGCTCCACGTCGGCCTCCGCCTGATCCTCCGGTGCGCCGCCGGCTCTCGCCGGTGACGGCGACATGTGTGAGTGTGAAGCTGCTGCTTCTGCTGCTGCTCTCTTCACCTAGCTCTAGCTTCAGGCAGACGAGACGAGCACGTGGTGCACCAGAGGGCAGACCGGCAGAGATGTCAGCTGTTGGTGGTGGATACTCAAGTGAGACAGAGATCTCGAAAGGGACGCACAGGGAAAATGGCGCACCGGTTTGCCTTCTTATGTTGACTACAGAGTACAGAGCCGAGAGAAAGATGTCCGTCCTCTGATGTTGATGTTGGACAACAGGGAAACTGGAATACTGCCTGTAATGACGTCGGACGACTCTCCTTATATGGAAGTAGTATCTCACTGACATTCAGGGCCACAGGTCAGCCTACCATAAGTGGCATATCGTCGATCTATCCAGTTTTGTGTTGTGTGAGCTTAAAGCGATATTAAGGTCACGAGTACATGAAATGAGTTTGACGTCATATATGATTACGTGATGATTTGAAACAGAGGGTTTAGTTTATATGTAAGTTTAAAGAGTTTAGTCGAGGCAGAATATACGCCTTGTTCGTTTGGCTTATAAGTCATACTTTTTCAGCCAACGAACAATATTTTTCTCTCACAACAAATCAGCCAACAGTATTTTCAGCCATAGCTTATCAGCCAAACGAACAGGGCAATATGCCTTTAAAATAAGGAAGAAAAACAACTCCATAATCAGAACAAGCTTTGTTGTAGTTACGAAGCTAAAGTGATTTCAAGAGGGATGCACTTGTCTTGTTCTTGTCAGGATATAGTCATAGAGATATGTGTTGTGTTATAGAGGATGCAATCAAACTCGCTATTTTTATATTTTTAGGGTGCATTTACACCTCTACACACAACATATCTTGACTTCATCCCCGCTTTGTTGTGCAGTAATACTTAGTTGAGGGCGTCCGGACGAACGGGCGGTGACCCCACGTGCGTGATACCCAAGAAAAAAAGAGGGGGCGTGCAGTTACAGTCAGGCGGGTCCGCACCCGTCCTTTTCTGTGGGGCAGCGCATGGGAGCGTGTGTGGCCACTCGTTCGGGGTACATGCGACGCATGGGGAACCATGCATGCGCGTGACCACAGAGAGAGGCTCCCTGCTGTGTCCGCTGCTAGCTGGACCAGGCCAGGTTGCTAGCCGCACGCACCTAGGGCCCCAGGCCTCCCTATCGCGCCTGCCCTATGCTGCCTAGCGCCTAGGCCTGCCGTTGGTTGTCATCCTGCTCTTTTATCTCTCTGTGTTGTCTGCGCCTAGGCCAAGCTGCCCCTGCCGCATGCTGCCTGCAGTGTTGCTGCTTTGGTCTACCAGAGTAACGAGTTGCAGGGCCGGTCAGGCCGCTTGCCTGTTTGTGAGAGGAGCACGGGCCCACATCTGCATGCGCCGTTTGCTGCTTCCATGACAGTTGACCATTGGCAGCTGAGTGCGAGCCCAAGTTTTTCCGCCACTCCATGGCATCGAGCTCCGTATGTTTCATGCATTTCAGATGTATATTTCATTTGGATGTTGCATGTGTTTCATCTAGATGTTGTATATGTAGCATTGCCTATACACGTATGTTGTAAGTGTATGTTTCAAATGTTTCAGATGTATGTTGCAAATGCTTTATCTATATGTTTCAAATGTTGCAATGGCTATACACGTATGTTGTAAGTGTTTTATCTATATGTTTCAAATGTTGCATTGGCTATACATGCATGTTGCAACTGTATGTTTCATTTGTTTCAAACGTATGTTGTAAGTATTTTATCTGGATATCACATATATTGCAGTGGCCATACACATATATTGTAACATTATATTTCAAATGTTTCATCTGTTTCAGACATACGTTGCAGCAAGTGTTTCATGTTGTAAGTGTTTTAATTAGTAGGCATAGTATGTTTCATGTGTTTCAGATGTATGTTTCATATGTTTCTTCTGAATGTTGCATGTGGTCCCCACCTGCATGCACGCCCACGGGCACGCAGCAGAGAAGCGAAGCGAGGGGCGCAACAGCATGGGGGGTAGGGCGTGGTGGGTGGTCTCCACCTGCTTGCACGGGCGCGCAGCACAGAATGAAGCAAAACGCACAGCAGCATGCAGGTACGGGCTTGCGTGTGTACATGCAGCACCATGTTGGCGCGAGCGGGCAGGTGCATAGTTGCAGCTGCATGCGGGACAAGCGAGGCAGGCAGCGGCAGGTGCAGCATGCAGTCAGACTTATCAAGCATGTGGAGTGGGCACTGCAGCACCATGTGAGGGCGGACGAGCAGGCGCACAGTTGCAGCCGCATGCGGGACAAGCGAGGTAGGCGGCGATAGATGCAACATACGATCAGACTCATCAGGTATACGGAGTAGGAGCAATAGACGGGGCATGCGCGGACGGGGCTACCGGACGGATGTCCGGCGCTAGCCATGCCCTTCTTGATTGCTCCAAAGCGCTCTAGCAGTTTGTCCGAGTGGTGGAATAGGGTCGTAAACATTCGTCAACTGGATCGATCCGAGAACCGAGACACGTGTCAACGGACATGTCTAAAAAAACATTCATCAACTGGACTAGTGACCGGCGCCCATTCAGCTTGTGATTACCTTTCGAGAAAAAAAAACACAAATATGGACCAGTGAATGCTTTTTTTTCCTAGCTAGATATAGGGGTTAAATATGGCAGGAGTAAACAGTAAAGTTGCGACCGAATTTCTAATTTAATTACACCTCGATGGTAACTAGTACTCCAGTAGAAATAACGAAGGGACAAGGCCACACCAAACGACTAAACAATTAACAAAGACCAAAATGATATTCCTCACTAGGATGACCTTAGTTTGGAAGCAAACTGCCCGTACCATTGTATTATTTTAAGTGCATGAGCAGTATTATTTGCTAACTTTGTAGAAATTTCTATGTAATTATCAATTTTTAAGAAACAGTAGGGTAGACCTCTACTGGTTAAAATATATCAATAATAAAAGAAAAAAGAGTTAAAATACCCCTTTAGACCGGGATAACTAGTAAAAAAGAAAGAAAAAACTCAAACAATACCATCAAAGTATGGCTTTCTTGGCGAGTGAATAGCATGGTTGCGGAAACCCTTCCTATGACAATATGCAGGGTTTCGTCATTGGTTGGTGTTAGCAGGCCCCATCCAGGAGACCCTTCTGCAGCCCCAAAGCCCAAGCGGTCCACAAGAAAGAAGGCTAGAAGTGTGAAGATTGCTGGGCCAGAATGGGCCTGCAACGCCTGCATCACGAGGCCCGCTGCTGAGTGAGGATAGGAGGGAGGAGACAGAGTGGAAACTGTAACAATCGAGAACTCATTACATTTCTATTGTATCGGCCGTAGGCCAAGCACTCGTAGTAATATTCCTAGCGACTGTAGTTCTTCTCCGTTTCCATTTAGCCGTCGCCACCGCGGTTAACACTGGTATCAAAGCCGCTGATCTCCGGCCACCGCGCGTGCTGGAGGACCCCCTCCCACTTCACTCGTCTCCAACGTTCCTGCGGCGCCATGGATCCAGTCGTCCGCCAAATGTTTTGACGATTTGATCCAGCGATTCGACTCCTTCTGATCCGAGTTCGACGGCCTCGGGTCCCGTCTAGATCGCCGCTTCTCCAAGTCGGAGGCTGTCCGATTCCAGCGCAATGCTGCCGTCGACGGCTGCCTCGAGTCCCTGGAGCACTTTGCGTCCACCCAGTACACCGCCGCCATCGTCGCTTACAACTGGGGCGGCCACTTCTCTGAGCGCGTCAGTGAGCTAGAGGAGCGCGTCCACGACCTCAAGATGGTGTGCTACGTCGAGATCTAGGACGAGCGTGACGAACGGGCCACCGCCCTCGAGTCCACAGCAGAGGCGTTCGAAGCATGGCGTCCTCGGATCGAGAGCTCCCTCTTCACCATTCGCTCGGAGGTGGATTGGTTGTCCAAGCTCTGGGATCGAACCTGCGCTGCTCAAGCCAATTGATCTCCCGAGCCAAAAGGTACACCGGAGTTGGTCGTCGGGCGAGCTTCTGCCGGAGCAATGACTGACTGGCCCAGTGGGCACGGCGTGGCGTCACCAACATGGGATGCGGGGGTATGGATCGGTCACGACCATAGCCCCGTTCCCGGCCAATGGTACGTTCTCCGTCACCAATCCTTCTTCCTCAGCTGTTCAGGGTGTCAATCCTCTGCCAATTCCCCATTCGATGCCTCCCCATCACCCTCCTCTTCCTCCGCCATCGTTAACGTACCCTCCTCGTCCGCCACCATTACCGTACCCTCCTCCATCGCCACCAATTCCATACTCACCACTATACTACCCACCGCTACCGTTTCACCCTCCCAAGCCCCACTATCTGCTCAATTCCGCTCCGCAACCCCTACTCCTAGTTCATCCACCTCCCCACCTAGTTCAACACCCAGCACACCCACATCCCAACTTCATCCCCAACATCCATCAACCTAATTACCTTCCCAATCAATCCAACCCCAATTTAGGTCACCTCCCTAAGATGTTGTTTCCTTAATTCGACGGGGATAATCCTAAGCTATGGTTGTCATGTGCTTGTTCCCATTTCGAAATGTATTTGGTTCATCCTGCGATTTGGGTTCGCGTTGCCACTCACCACTTCACCCATGCCGCAGCTCATTGGCTTCAGCTTGTCGAGTCTGAAGTGCAGAACATATCCTGGGAACCATTCTCCATCCTTATTCATGAGAGGTTCAACAGTGATCAGCATGAACTGCTGTTATGCCAACTATTCCACATCAAACACACCTCCACCGTCTCAGATTACATCAAAAAGTTCACTGATTTTTTTGAACAGCTCAAAGCCTATAATGCAAACCCTGACAAGTTTTACTTTACCACTCGCTTCATTGATGGCCTACGAGAGGACATTCGTTCTGTCGTATTGGTTGCTCGGCCATAAGACCTCGATACTGCGTGCACTCTCGCCTTGTTGCAGGAGGAGGCGCTGGATCAAGGGTGCCGCAAGGACTTCAAGTGCTTGGAGGCATCCCCGTTCACGCGTACAACGACGATCAAGG